GGGATCCCGTTCGTGTGTGTGTGTGTGTGAATGTGAGATTGATAGTAGAAAATCAGCAGAGTGAAGAGATCTTTAAATCAAGTCCTTTGGGTGCATTTTGGCGCACTAGAAAGAACTTGGAGGGTCTGCTGGGGGCTCGGTAAATAAGAAAACATTGGTAAAATATTGTAACCAATGGTGGCCTTGGTATACTTTGGAAGATCAGGAAAAATGGCCTAAAGATGGAACTCTGAACTATAATACATTGTTACAATTAATGTTGTTTTGAGGGGGCAAGGAAAATGGGATGAAGTAATGTATGCAGATATGTTTTTCACTTTAAGAAATCATGCGGAGTGACAGATCGAATGCAAAATTAATATAGCTCCACCAGATTCCTTAATTTTGGCTTTGGAAAAGGACAGGGTAAAACTGAAAGTTAAGCTAGAGATGTTCAGCCTGTGATATTGGGGAAAGATGTTTAAAGTTAAAAAACAGTAATCAGGAAGATAGGTTGGAAAATTATGTATCACAGGTACCTCCGAGAGGATCACCCTCTGCATCTGTCCTGTTTGGTATTGAAAAGGAGGAAGAGATTGCTGTCACTGGCAACAAGCGGCACATTCACATTCGGACTTAAGAAGGGGTTAAACCAGAAGTGCTGTTGCAGAGGCAGTTATCTGCAGCCCCTGCAGAGCAGGGTGAGCACCTGTGGAAAAAAAAAAAAGGAAAACCAAGGGGGAAAGAGGGGGAGCTCGGGCAGCTCCTGTGTTTGAGCAGGGGAGGAGGGATGACTGGCGGAGATGGGGGAGAGGGCTCTTCTGTGGAACTGGATCGGTGTGCGTGCTATGGGGAGTTTGGACGTCGGAAGTGAGACTGCCCTGGGGGGGGGGGGGGGGGGGCGGCAGTGTCATGGGGTGGCTCCGGTGACTGAATTGGAACTAGACTGAGAGGGACCTGGGGAATCTACCCTAGCAGATCCACTGCTTAAATTAAAGCTAGGGACTAGAGGAAATAAAGAAGAATTTTAGTGGATACAGGAGCAACTTATTTGGTGTTAAATCAGAGACAAAAGAATTCATTACAGATGTGGGAGCTACTGGCCACCAAGAAAAAGCGGAAAAAAAAAACCAAAACAAACAAACAAACAAAAACAAAACCGGCATTCTTTCTGAAACCTTTAAAGAACAAATTGGGAAAACAAATAGGAATGCATAAATTTTTATGCATGCCAAATTCTCTAAAATCTTTATTAGGGCGAGAAGCAACATTTAAAGAAGACAAAATGGAATTTAGAGTTAAAAACAGTCAATTAATTGCAGTTTTGAGTTTATCTTTGATTGAACAGAAAAGCAAAAAGGAGGACCTCCCTGAAATAGAAGAAATCCTTAATCAGGTGTATGTGGGCGTATGGGCATCTGAAGTTCCAGGTAAGGCAAAAAATGCTTTGCCTGTTAAAGTGGAAATAAAAAAGGGGGGGCTGCCCAATTAGAATAAAACAGTATCCCTTAAAATTAGGAGATCAAAGGGAATCAAAAAATCATTGATAAATTTTAAAATATAGATTATTAATTGAATGTGAATTGGAATATAATACTCCTATCTGGACAGTAAAGAAATATGATGGGAAAAGTTGCAGATTGGTTCATGATCTCAGGTTAATCAACAAAATTGCAGAGGATATTTGTCCAGTAGTAGCTAATTCATATGATTTATTGACTAAATTGAATAATAATCAGAAATGGTTTGCCGTCCTGGATTTAAAGGACACTTTCTTTTGCTTACCATTGGCCAAAGAAAGCCAAAATTATTTGCTTGCGAATGGGAAAATCCTAACACAGTAAGGAGAACCCAATTAACTTGGACAGTATTACCACAGGGATTTAAAAACAGTCCAGCAATTTTTGGAAATCAGTTAGCATGAGAATTAGAATCATGAAAGCCACCTGCTCAGAGGGGGACTCTGTTACAATATGTGGATGACCTGTTAAATGCTAAAGAAACAAAGGAAAAATGTGTCCAGTGAATGGTGGGATTATTGAATTTTCTGGGACTGAATGGTTATCAGGTGTCCAGACAAAAGACCCAACTAATCCAAACCCGAGTTTCCTACCTAGGATATGAAATAACAGGAGGACAGAGAGAACTTGGAACTGCCAGAAAAGAAGCCATTTGCCAGACTCCACGACTGTTGACTGTCAAGGAGCTCCGGACATTCCTGGGAATGACAGGATGGTGCAGACTTTGGATCCATGATTATGGTGTTCTGGTAAGACCACTATATGAACTGTTGAAGGGAAACCCTCCCTCTTTGGAATGGACTGATAAAGCAGAGGAGGCTTTTAGAAATGTAAAGATAGAGTTAATGAGAGCTCCAGCTCTGGGACTTCTGGATGTGACTAAACCTTTTTGGCTATATTCCCATGAAAAACAAGGAATAGCCTTGGGGGTCCTTGCTCAGAAACTAGAACCATACAGAAAGGCAGTGGTGTATTTTTCAAAACAGCTGGATGAAGGGAGCAAAGGATGGCCCGGATGCCTAAGGGCTGTGGCAGCAGTTGTCATCAATACTGAAGAGGCTCACAAATTCACCTTTGGACAAAAGATTACCGTGCTAGTGTAGCGTGGTAACGGCAGTCCTGGAACAGAAATGAGCCCACTGGTTATCTTCTTCATGTTTTTTAAAATACCAGGCCACAATTGTAGAACAGGATGATATAGAAACTGTGGTCACTAACATTGTGAATCCAGCATCCTTTTTCCAGGAACAATGGACAGAACCACTAACACAATGACTGCTTGACCACCATAGAGATGGTGACAAGGGGGCACAAAAGCACAAAATGGAACATAGAAACCTTTAGAATTAGTTTTAAGTAAAGTTTGATGGTTTTGTAACAGTAGCAATGGAAAATTACGGAGGTGCATGATACATAGAGAAAAAAATAGAGTACAGCTAGAGAACATACTCAGAATTCTCACAAGAGAAATCGTTATAGTTGTGACATAGTTTAAGAAAAACAGCCTAGAAGAACAGGACACAGGGATAAGGAGTATCTGGGAACCACAGGTGTCCAGGATGGGCTACAGTTAAACTAACTGGTAAGTAGGAGGATAGGAGGATTATTATGTCCCTGGTGCTAATGAACCAATTAAACTGGTATGAGCATCTACTGTGCATGCTTCAAAGGCTTTGTTGGCAAGTTTGTTCCTGGGGTTTTCTCTGAATCAGATCCCACTACTCCCAACCTGACCTTTATGTCCTAACTCTGCCTAGGTGAAAATCTGGTGGTGATAATGGGTCATGATAGCTTCCTACCTCAAGCCATAATCCTGGCCAAGGTCTGACTCAGTACAAGTTTCTGTAGATGGTATGCAAACATAAGTCAATTATCTTACTGCATAGTGGACAGCCTGGGGCCTGGGAGGCTTTGCTGCATGCAGCAGGTTTCATTCCAGGATCTCCCTCTGAGTAGAGACACCTCTCAAGGTTACTCCTTGAGGCTGAGAGGCTCCTTGTCTCAGCAGATCCTTGGTGATTAACAGCCTGCTAAACTTTGTAAATCTTAGCTAAGTGATATGAAGGATTGATTGTACATTTATTATCTTTTAGACATAAGCCATTGACACATCATTCACAGTCTGGATCCAGCCACCCCTAGACTGCTCTCTGGGGAGTCTGGAAAGCAAGAGGGCCCTTTCTGAACCTCATGACTAGTAAGAGGGTGTCCTGACAGTTTTGTCTTACTCTGTCCTCTATGCAGTGAGCAATCAAGTGTACCTTGCCATCAAATCCAGTTAAAGCACTGTCACATTTACTAACAAACTTTATTAAATCCCTGTTTTATATCAATATTCATAGATTCACAGAATGGTTTAGGTTGGAGGTGACCTTAAAGCTCATCCAGTTCCAACCCCCTGCCATGGGCAGGGACACCTTGCACTAGACAGGGTTACTCAAAGCCCTGTCCAACCTGGCCTTGAACACTACCAGGGATGGGGCAGCCACAGCTTCACATACTGGCTTTTATGCAGGACATGCATCACTCCATGAGCGACAACAGGAAATAAAATGTGTCAGGGGAAGTTCAGGTTGCACCAATCCTGTAGAGTTCAAGGAGCGCCTAGATGACAATCTTAGTCATGTTGTTCAGTTTAGGTGGTACTGCGAGGAGCAGGGAATACACTCCATGGTCCTCGTGGATCTCGATCTTCCAGCTTGAAACATCCTTCGAGTCTACAGATTCGGAGAAGACTCCAGGCACAAACTCGCCAACTGTTTCAAGTTGACAAGCAGGTATTCTTTATTGCGGCGCCGGGAGACACAGGGGATAGCTCCTCCTAACGTGTATCACCGTATTGTGACACCAGCCATCCTTACATGGTTACTGTGCATACATACATATTCATGAGGCTACACATAAATTACATCATTTTCCAGAAAGTTTCTCGCATGCATATAAAAATGTGGTGGTGGTCTCTGCGGGTCGTTTACTTTTCCCAACAATCTTCATAACTTCTGGCAGTCTTTGAAGCACCAGCTTAATTTACAGACATAGCAATCACCCTGTCCTTCTACAGTTTAACTGCGCCCATCCTGGACATCCGCTAGTCCCGGATACTCCCCAGTAGATGTTTACACCAGCTTAATGGGTTCATTAACACCACAAACATAGCAATTATCCTGTCCTTCTATTTATCAGTTAGTTTAACTGTGCCCACCCTGGACATCTGCTAGTCCCAGACACTCCCCATCCCCAAGTCCTGTTTCTCTATTTTGCTTTTCTTACACTTTTTGTACTAAGGTCTTAAGGACCTAAACCTATGTCAATTACCTTCAAGCACCGCAGTTATTGTCCATTACAAAGTCATCAAACATTACTTAGAACTGATTACATTTTGTGCTTTCCTGCCTCCTTGTCCCACTACGGAGACACAGTCGCAGCCGCCCCAGCGGGACTCGGAGCGCGCGCGGAGCCGGCGGGCGGTGCCGGCAGAAGCGACTGCCCGGCCACTTCCTGTTGGAGCTGTTGTGGTTCCGGGGCAGACGCAGCGAGGAGCCGGCGATGGAGGGAGGTGCGTAGCGGTTCGGGAAGGGCCTGGCGGAGCCCAGCCCGCGCCCCTAGCTGACCCTCTCTGCGTTCTTTTCTCTCTCCTTGCAGACGCTGAGATGCGAGGGGGACCCGACCCGGAGATGGCGGCCACCATGGGCTTCTCTGGTTTCGGTGCGTTGCTTTGCGGGTCGGGGGTGCCGGGGACACGGCTACGGGACGCGGGGAGCGGCTGCTGGGGCCGGCGGGCCTTGGTGGGGTCCCGGAGGAGGCTGTGGTTGGAGATGGGAACAAAGCGGTCGTGCCCGTCACCCTCTTGTCCCGCAGCTGGCCACCGTGAGTCTGTGTTCCAGCCTCTTTCTTCTTCGTTTTTAGGGAAGAAAGCTCGGACTTTCGATCTCGAAGCCATGTTTGAACAAACAAGAAGAACTGCGGTGGAGAGGAGCAGGAAGGTCCTGGGTAAGTAATGCAAGTGTAGTCAGCTAATGCATTTTAAAACGTTCTGTGGTTCTCGTTTGGGATGATGTTTAAAGTGTCTCAGATTGGCTGTCTAGAGAGCAAAAAACAAATGCAGTTTTTTTTTCCAAGGAAGATGTACAGCTGTAGAGCCATGGAATAGTTTGGGTTGGACGGAACCTTCAAAGGTCATCTTGTGCAGCCCCCTGCAGTGAGCAAGGGTATCTAGATCGTGTTGCCCAGAACCACATCCAGCCTGGCCTTGAATGTCTCCAAGAAAGGGCTTAAACAACTTGTGTGTTTGTAAATAATAGCATTATTAATTTACATGTGTTTTCTGAGTGTGTATGTGCAGGGTTCCTCTTGTGAGGCACAGCGCCTTATAGATACATGAAAAAGGTCAATTTGAACAGGCTTTTTCCTTTCTTCTTTAACTTAGATGTGTAATTGTTATGGAAGAGAAGGTGGCACAGACAGCTTTAATCTAGAGAAAATAGAGTAGCAAATTAAAATGTGTAACTTATACCAAACAGCAGGTTATATAGCAGACTACAAATTTGTTTCTGTTTTCTGCTGTGCTGAGAGCAGGTACATTTTCAAGGTACTGGTTTGAGAGTGGGAGGTAGAGATAATGATTTCTTTTGTTGCCCATATTCAATCAAGCATTATTCCAAAGAAGGTCCTTAGGAGACACCAGAAATGCCTTTGCAAACCCAGTTGTCCATGCTTTCTTTTTTTGCTTGGACAGTGTAGAGAATGTGTGGGTTTTGTTTTGATTTGGTTTTTCATGTGATGCTGTCATGGTTGAGCAACTTCTGCCCTACTAGATTGCACTTAATCTGCTCTCTAGTGCTGCAGTTTATGCAGTTAGCCAACAAAGCACTTTTTCATAAAGAAAGCAATTCTGGTGTCTTTATATGATCAGTTTGTTTGATAGTGTGTACAAACTAGCAACTGGAAGGTGTTCTCATTTGCCTTGTGACACTTAGTTTTTTCAGGGTGATCATTGCAGTAACAATGAAAATTGAGTTTATATGGAAAAGTAGTGCTTTCATGTGAAATCATTTATTTGCTGTTACCTTTTCAAATATTTCATATAGGTCATAAAGAAAAGAAAGCTCTTTTAGTGTCCTCAGCAAATATCTAATTTTATTATTGTCTACAAGTCTTGATTATTTGTCATGTATGTGCTTTCTGTGTACAGAGGCTCGTGAAAGAGAGAAGGAAGAACAGGCTGAAAAAGATCTTAGAAGTTCATGCATCAGTTCATCAACTTCAGCATCCGATGCAAAAGGCACTGGAACCACATCAACCCAAAGGTACTTAGATATTCTTCCCACCTGTAGATATAGATACACTTGTTCATGCGTGCTGAATAAGAAACTAGTAGGTGAGGTGCTTCTGTATTCACAGTGAACAGAATAGTAAGGGGGTTGAGGGAGTTCTGACTTCCATCTGAAATTTACTTTCAAACTTGCCAACATTTTTGTTTTATTGACAAACCGTAAATGCTGTTTGGACAGCAGTTTTGCAGTTTGTATTCTGAAACGCTGGGAGATGAAAGTAGCTGAAGGTAACAGGGACCAAACAACTCCGTTTTGTGGCAGGGATTATGGAGACCAGTGCACCGTAAATTTTTAGGTGTCTAGGTTTCTGTGTCTATGGAAGTCTAATAACCTTAAATACAAGGCTTTGGTAGCCTGTATGTGTGCATTTTATGGGCTCATAGAGTCTACACGTGGTCAGTTATTATAGACAAACTTGTAGTGTTTCAGATTGTGAAAAAAATTTGTTACAAAATTTACTTTTTTGCCTGTTGCTTTATGGAAAATGCAGATAAACCATAGACTCATGTAAATAACTGATCACACAATATACTACCCTACAGAGTATACTTACTACCCTACAGAGTATACTTGCTGCCCTACAGAGTATACTACCCTGGAGATCCTGTGTTATGTCTTGTGCATAAGGGAAAAAGATTCTGTGCTCCCATTTGCTTCTGATGACCTTAGGTACCTTCTGGTGAAATAATGAAAGCTCGCAAGAATTTAAATGTAACACGATTGCCTACTGTATGTGTGTGATTTCAGTATAAAGAATCAATTACAACAATTGGTAAGGTGGAAAGCAGTCAGGTGATACAGAGCCTTTCACTAATCAGCTTGCTTCACTCATGGCCTTAACTTAAGAGAACTCCGGGGACTTTGTGTAAAGGAAGATAGCAAAAACCTTTCTGTATTCTGAGTTGCTAGCTAGGTTCTAGTTACTCACTGGAATTCAGCTGATACTGAGGTGGTGGTTTCTTTTTTTTTTTTTTTTCTTTTCTTGTTTGTTTTCCTGGAAGTTTTATATATCCTTGTAAAATATGATAGGTCAGTACTTGGTGCTGAAAGCATAAAACTGCTGAAGAAGACATGCTATTGTGACTCAGCCTTAATTCAGAGGTATAATCCTACAACTGACAACTCTGAAATATAGGACTTTTAGTTCTTTATAATGTAGAATATAGTTATTTTTTATAATGTGAAATTCTGTTGTTTATCTAATAATTTATGTAGCTTGTTCTGTTCTCTAAAAGTGGCATCACTTTCCTGATTATTACTTTCTTTAAAATTCCAAGTACTTTCAGTTACCATAGTGACCCTTATGGTGATCTTTTAATTGTTAAAAAGGGGTTGGTCGCCTGAAAAGATGGGAAGAACAGCAGTTGATTCTTTTTGCTTTTGAGCTATTTCTCTTTAGAGAAATGTTTACAATAGTTATTGTACTTACATATTTACACATAAGTACCATAATAGTAATGTTTGATTAAAGGAAAGCATCTGCTAGTATTTAAAAAAGAGAAAAACTGAGAAAATAAGAGAGGATGATGTAAAGAGAGTGAATATGTGGGGGGAATATTTCCCCATACTTGTGCAACTCTCAGAACATTTTTTATTTCCCCTGTCTGTGTGCCATCCATGCTCTAATGTAGCCTGCTTTTTTTCTCTCCTTGCATCTTGTTTCACTTACTGAGGAAGTAATGAAGGAAACAAAAACCAGTTCCTTACATTTCTCTAAATCCAGGGAAATGGGCTGGTAAATTGGTTCCTCTTTCTTTACAGCCTCTGGTAGAGCAAGGCTGAAACTTACAGGAAATGCCACTTGTTTTGTCCTTTCTGTCAGTACCACTCCTGGTCACTGTCAGAAGTTTAGGTGGGCTTTTGGTCTGGCTGCATTGGGTGTTCTTATGTTTGACTTCCACTTAGGACAGAGATTGCCAGTAGCTGTAGCGCTTGGATGTTCCTGCCAAGCTTAAAGTGTGGTGAAAAATAGCGCTGCAATTCTGGCCATTTCACATTCAGAGTGATTACACTGCCTCTCAAAATACTGAAATGTTTGGTGATTTATCCTTCTTAGGAAATGAGGGTATTTGTAAGGATAGGTAATTAGAAATTAAACTATCTATTGTTCTTTGTGTCTATAGAAAGATCTGAAAATATGGGACTGCAGGATTAGGAAAGGCCTAGAATACTGTACCCATTCTTCTCACTGACAGCTACAATGTATATTTGGTTCCATTCCAAAATATTTTGGCTTTTGGGGAAAAGATAGGTGGTTTGCTAGGCTGGGAATACATATTGACTGTTAAAATGTAACACTTTCACATAGTTTTGTAAAGTTGTTATATTTGGGGATAGATAACTAGAAGAACTTTAAAGGTCCCAACCCATTCCTTATGTGCTGGAAAAACTTCCTTTTGGTATAAGGATATTGATTGTCCTATTGTTGTAGAGTAAGAGAAGCTCTTTTAGCTGAATTTGATTTATTAGCTAGTCATATCCTGATCAGGGTCTTTAAATGCCTCTTACCATGCAAAACAAAGTTTGTATGTAGAAGTATTATCTTTTCGTGGGCTGGTAAATACAGTTGGAAAAATTAGACAAGCTTTGATGCATGCAGACCCTTGTCATCTTTATAATACCTGTGGACCTAATTCATGTTGGGTTTAGTTTGTTTTGATTTCTTCCTAAAATAGAATTTCAGTTGCTTGTCCAACACAAATATTTGCTTTGTAATCTACTACCTGCTTGGTCGACAGTAGGTTTGGGGCACAGTTTGGGACTACATTCTCTCTCACAGTTACACAGTTTAGAACATATTTTTTTTATCCTTTATTATATTCTTGGACTTGTGTGTTTTTCTTATAGGTTTTAAATGATAACCTAAACTGTAAAAAAACAACCAAAACCAAAAACCAAAAAAAAACCAAACCAAACCAAAACAAAAAACCCCAATACTTCAGTAGTCTTTTTCTGTTTTCTTTAACGTATCTTTTGTATCCAGTTCACTTAATAACTCACATACATGATCCTAAAATATAAGCTCGCAAACCAATTTTTGCAATTGCAGTTTTGGTTCTTGCTGAACCTAAAAGGAACATATGATTTACCATTGTAATGGTACGGTGATACCAATGTAATGATGGTATCTGATTACCACCACCTGGCAGTTAGAATACAACATCCTCGGTAACTACCAGCAGAGGGAGTGCATTTATTTCAAATAAACTGAATGAGCGCAGCCTAAAGAGCTCTACTTTTCAGACATCGTCCAGTGCCAAAAATACTGTGTTCACACAGCTGATTTCGACAACAGTAAAATGATAATTTGAGGTAACTTTTAGAATCTAGATTTGTGGGAGTATCAAATGTTTGGTTGAAAGTGCCAGATTCACTGTTATTCTTCACCAGCATTATAAACCAGGTGCCATGCTTTGTATTCTCATTCTGGTTGTGAGCCTGGGTGATCACTGTTTCGAGTTCCACCAGCCAAAAGAGGTGCAGAGCACCTGCACAAGATGCAACTTGAAGCAGAATCTGGAAAATGTGATGTAGCAATGTTGGCTTGTGTTGGCTTCTAAGCAATACTGAAATATGGAAATCCATACTAGTGGCATGATACTGTTGTTTTTACAATCCATCTAACTTTGTTTTATTTTGTCCAGTTTTTTGAATTGTCTTTCACTATGGTATGTTTTTTTTTTTATTTTTTTTTAAGGCTTTGTTTATGCTGAAAGATGTTGGTGTGCGTACACTCAACAAAAACTAAATTATGTCTTGCTGCTAATTTCAGTGTTCATGAATTCACAACTGTGCTCCACATTTCTATCTGAAAATTATTGTGAAAGTGCTGAGATTCTCAAAATAGTAATTTTTAAAAATTTTCCAGCAGAGGGAAAGTCTGGAATGAAAGTGAAAATAGTTCAGATGAAGAATTAACTGAGCCTTCCAAGCAATCCCGGACCTCTGCTCAAGGCCCAGTGGAGGATACTGATGATGAAGATGATGACTTTATTGGACCGCCACTTCCGCCTGGGTTCAAGGATAGCGATGATGATGACGATGATACGGAGGAGGAAGATAACGTAAGTATTTGTCTTAACACTTTGAGTAAAATCAAATTTGTCAGTCTGTTCTTTCCATTATGATTGAATTTGCAGGTCAAGCATGACTGTTTTTGAAATGCATTTTGTGTGTGGGTTTTTTTTTTTACCCTAATAATTATTCAATAAATGAAAATAATTGTTTTCATTAAAAATATCAGGATTTAAAAAAATGCATACATGTGAGTCTGAAGGGAAATTCATCATCAATTGGTATATATTTTGTTTTCACACTATGAAATAATTATAAAAAAAAAAAATATTTTTATAGTTTGTTTACCAGTCCATGTGTAGAGTTTTTTGTTTTTTTTTTTTTTTTTTTTTTTTTTTTAAGAAGAAAGAGGAGATGGGTTTAAATTTAGTGAGAACAATTCTGTCAAAACCGTGGTGAAGGCTTTTTCTTTTATTTTTGTTTGTTTTGATTTGCTTTTTTAATAACTCTAAGAATATGCCAGATCGGTTTGTTTGGGTGAATATAGATTGTCTTTTTCTATTTCTGTTAAAAGCAAGAAAACCCCTAACAGCCTAACTTGTGTATAACAGGTACTTGGTTGCCAAATCTCTCTATTTAGTTGGAAGTTTAATGCTCTCATGTGCATTTTCCAAAACTTCCTAGATTGAATATTTTGCCGCAGTTGATTTTGTATTGATGGTTTCCATGCATTTTTGTAGCAACAATGACAAAAGTCCTGTAAAAACAGCCTTATGTATCAACTGTGAACTGTTGGTAGCAGAAAAAACCTCTTGCGTCCAGTTGCACAAATATGGATCTAATCCTAAACCCCAAATTCCCAGTTGTCTCAAGGGTTTCTTTTAAATTACATTTTAGTTTTGACTAGATGTTCAGTTAGTTAGTTTTTTATAAAAGCTTTTAATCTTGCATCTTGTGTATTTTAAACGTAAGTTTAGAGTGCTTACTTAAAATGAGGGAAAGAAACTTCGTAAGCAATAGCATAACTGATTTTCAGAGTGAGCCTTACTTGTATGATGGCAGTGTTTTTTGTTTTGTTTTGGTTTTGTGTTTTCCAGGAGATAAATGATGCTTTAGGATTTTTTATTACTTTCTTTGTTCTGCTTGATTCACTGTTGCCTATGGATTTCTTTAGGTACCACACTGTATATTTTAGCACTGTGTCTCCTGTGATTTCAGTCTGTACCCCACACGTGACTTGTGTCTTAGGGAACCAACTGTCAATAAATCCCAGACTTTCCTGGAGAATGTTGTAAGCCTTAAGTTAGCTTAAGACTGAATATAAAGCTGTATAAGGCATTCTCTTAGCTGCTAGCTGTCATGGCACTGTGGAATAAGTCCATATTCCTGAAGGTATCATAGACTAGCAGATTTCATTTGCTGTGAATCATGTCATATTGAAGTTACTGCTTCTTTTCTGCTGCTTTTGTGCCAGCTTCTCTGGAATGCCAAAGGGAAAACAATGTGTGAATTTTTACTTCAACATGTCTTTGTCAGTAGTCACTTTGTTTGCTGGTTGACTAGTTTAATTTGGAGATTTTGGTATTATTTTTTATTTGTAAATATTTGAATAATGCTGCAACTAGCTTGATAAAATGGACTTCCTGGAAACTGGAATTAAAAGACCCCAGTGAAGAGTTTCAGACAGAAAGGTAACTTGCAGACTGGTATGATTTAAGTTTGTCTGAACATAAGACAATAGTTACAAAACAGTCTAGAACAGATTTGGTTGAGAATAAGCAGAGCAGCAGAAATAAGAGACTTGTGGGTTTTCAGTCTAAACAGTTAATTTATAACTGGGAAGATTTTGTGTCAGCATGGATGCCAGAGGCCTTCGGGGTCTAGAGCCTCCCCTTACTGCTGCTTATGAACTCAGTTATTTTGTTTCCTGTAAAGGGAATCAGGGAGCAGCTGTGCTTTCCTGATTTCCTGTTGATCGATTGGTGATCATAGTATGATCCTGTGAGCCCCAAGGAAAGCAGGTGTTGCTGTTATGAGAACTCTTGTGATTCCTTTTTTTTTTTTCTTGCTTGTACATCAGGCTGTGGTTGGTACATGTGGGGGGCAGAACAGGGAGAGAAGAAATGGAAAGGTCCCTTGAATAATTCTTTTGTTTCCAGATGTGCTGTGAGACTGTCTCTCTTTTGTTATCATATTTTGCTGCTGAAGTAACTTCTTTTAAAGCACAAGTGTCTATATTTTTGACCTTAAAGGAAACATTTTCCGTTATATGAGTTGCAGTTCTGTACTATGAAGTCTTATGAACTTTGTATAACAGATAAAATGCATCAAAATATTGGCTTTGTCCTGGCAGTTTGCAACTGTCTCTCAAGCCTGACTTTTGATGTTTTTTTTTTTATTATAGGAACATTGTTTTCCACCATTGCTTGTTCAGTTGTTTTTTGCTTTTTTGTGAGAGACGGTAGAGATATTTGTCAAAATTGCTTGCTGTAAGGTTAGCATCTTTTTAGTTGGCCCAGGAATACCCAGCTCACTTTGGGTATTTTACTGAAATGAGGTGGAAAGAGTAGCTGATGGCTATTATCTTTGATGGGAATTTTTCATACCTTATTGGTGCTTTTTATAGGAAGATGAATACCAGTGTTTAATGGCTGAATGTTTTGAGTCAGCACTGCTACTTTTTAACTATTGTACATTTCTGTAATTTACATTTATATGTGATACAAACTGACCATCTGTTTTTGAGGAGAGGGGGTGGTACCATATGGTGGTACATACATGAATTCTAACTTGAGTTACTTTTTTCTTTGAATTTATGCAAGTTCATTTGGTATATTTCAATTTTGTGGTAATTGTTCTAAAGCATTTTTCTGCCTTTAAATAAAATCTCAATTAATACTGATGGTAGTTACATAAAAAAAAAAAACAAAACAATTTAATGACTTGTTCATTTAGTGTAATTTGCCTCCATTCATGCCGGAAGTGATGATTCTTAGCAAGGCACAATATGGTTGTAAGTGCTTATGCAGGCATTTTACGGTGTCTGTTTTGTATTAGTGTAAGGAATACTGCTATATCAAGTATATTTTAGGGACAACAGGTACACCTGGTATCAATTCCCTCTGATATTCTTCACGTTGTGTTCTGTTCTACATGAGACTTGCATTAATTTGGAGAGCAAGGAAAATGAGAAGAGTTGTCTATTTGAATAGTGATAAGTGCTTTTCCCTAGTGCTTTATATCCTAATGATGGAAGAACCTGGTTGGAGTTCAGTGCCAGTTTTTCACATGGTCGTAAGCTGACAGGAGGAGTGAGGAAGCATAGTGTCTCCTGTAGCCTGAAACTTTTCAGGTTTGGTTTCTGTCCCCAAAAGCATGCCTTTCTGGAAAACTTGAGGAAGGTATTTTTGTTTCCAGGCAGGGATATCTTAAAAGAGAAAACTGCTTGTTTTGCAGAGGGTAGTTTCTTAAGAAGGACAATATTTCATGTAGTAAACGTATAGGCTGGGATATATAGCAGAGTCTTTGCCAGCTTTTTTTTTCCCTGGCAGGATGCGCTGGGGGTGTATCTGGTGTTTGTGCAAGTAAAATAAAATCTGGCTGGAGGGGGATAGGAGACAAGCCAAAGCAGTCATGTTAGGGTTGGTGGGTGGACAGCTTCAGATGTAGGACAGAAGCATTTTTCAAGGTGATGGATTACACCTATTAAAAGCATTAGTAAGAGGGTGTGTATTTATTGGTATTTTCATCTACATGTCTTTAGAATTTGTGCTGAAATCTTTAGCAGAACTCGATGGAATGCTAGCATCTTGTGGCACTTTTCCTCACTTAACAGGTAAAGAATAGAAGTGGTTGTTGGAAGAATTTGCCAGATGGTTTTGCAAGGCCATATCTTCTGCCTGGAACTTAGTTACAGTCAATTCTTCTTTGGAACGGCGATCTGTTTGTCTCTCTAGTACCAAAGGGATACATAATCATATTATAATTATGTCCCTGAAACAAGTACTGCCTTGGGCATCTCCAAGGCTGTACTCTGATTTGGGCATATTTCCAAAATGATAGTGTAACCTTATTCCAACTTAACTAGAATTATTTTGAGACACTTTTAGATTTTTGCAGAGGTTTAACAGGACATACTAGAAATACTCATTTATTCAGAATGGAACAAAGACATTTTCTGCTGATTCTGTACATTGTAGGTGCTTCAATTAGAATTTGGCTATGCTACCAAGCTAAAAAAGTAATGGTGGTATAAAGATTATTAAATTCTATGTGAGTTTTTAGTTGAGCGAAGGAGTTACTACATTTAGGATAAATCTTAGGAAAAAAAGAGGATTGTCTGTTCTGGTAACTGCTGAATCTTGTTTAGCCAGTCAGGTTTATTGTCTAAAGGAGAAAAAGTGAAGTAAGCTGAACAAAGCATCTTTTGTGCATGAGTAGAGGAAGAAAAGTGTAGGTTTGAGGATGAGAGGCGTTATTTTTGAACTACTTGTAATTATTGATATGCTGATGCAAAATAGGTAGCAATTTCCACTGCTTTTGATTTCCTTTGTGTTACCTTCCTATATTAGAAGCAAACTACTTTTGTGATACATGTGCATAGTATGTTCTTAGGTCTTGACAATATTTCTGGTGTAAAGATAAGGAAGATTTTCTTCATGTGGAACTCGGAACAAGTCATGGGTTTTTTGTTAAGGATCATTGATGTGGTTGCTGATGTTGCAAAGAATAAGAGAAATTATCTCAAAACTTGAGTTAGAAAGGATTTGCAAGCTTCACAAAATATAAAGCAAAATCAACCCCCTAAATATCGTATAATGAAGCTCAGTATAAGAAAGTGAGAGTATCAGTCAGAAGCTGGGAGGAATACCTGCCATAAAAAAATTGCGAGTTTCATGTAGACAGTGTACAAGAGGACTCTAACAGGGCAATTTCCTTAGGGAATGTTTATCTTTTATAAAAAGGCATGGGGTGCTTGGTTTTTCCCTCTTCAACCCAGTGCACCAGAGTTTTACGATTACCAGTTGTCCCCAGAGAAAATTAATATACA